TTTTTTGGCCCCCCTCAGAGAGAAAAAAAAAACCACATAATTTTTTCTTTCTCTACACATACATAATCATGGAGCAATTTCAATCAACTATGCTGGAACTCATTAAGTATCAGATGCAAAGACAGCAAGAGAGTGAAGAACGTTTTCAGAAAGAACAACTTAAAATTCAAGAAGAACAACTTAAATTTCAGAAAGAGCAAAAGGAAGAAAACGCAAAACGATTTCTGGAGATACAAAAAATACAAGAAGAAAATGAAAAGAAACAGTTAGCAATGGCTGAACTTATACATAAAGCTCTACTGTCCAAGCAGAAAGACTCGGATGAAAGTATTTTTTCTCAAGACACAATATGGTCAACGATCGAAAGTTTTACTTATAACCCAGTAGAGGAAAAGACTTTCGAAAGATACTACCATAGATATCAGGATTTTTATGAAGTTGATTGCCAAACATGGACAGACGATAAAAAATAAGGTTACTACTACGAAAACTGGGAACGGCAGAACACAACAAATTCACAGATTTTATATTACCCAAAAAGACAAGAGATTTAAAATTCGATGAAGCAATTGAATTATTAAAAGAGCTTTTTAACCCCAGATTTTCATTATTTTACAAATGGTGGAAATGCCTTAATATCCAAAAAAGCGATCAGGAAGATTACACAACGCTCGCGTCAATCATAAATAAGACGTGTGACGATTTTCGCTTGTCCGAATTATCGGCAGACAATTTCAAGTGTTTAATATTCGTGCTAGGCTTAGTGTCTAAAAAAGATAGTGAAATGCGAAGACGCATTTTAGCAAAACTAGAAAATGACCAAAACATGACACTACAAAAGCTAGCCGAGTACTGTCAGCAATGCGTAAACATTAAGCAAGATTCAGAAAAAATAGAAGAAACTGCTATCGCAAATGTGAAGAAAGTAAATAGGAAGACTCGTTTCAGTTCTCCATCGCCTGAACGGAAGTGGTATCCTACTCCTAAAACGAACAGAGACTATAGAAAAAGACTCCCTCCGAGTGCATGTTATGGATGTGGCCAGTGGCACTGGTACAATGACTGCCCATATAAAAATAAAGCTTGCAGAAATTGCAAAAAAGTAGGACATAAGATGTCCAAGTGTAGAAAATTAAACAGAAGACGAGTGAAAATTACCAAGTCAGACGAAGATCAAGACCTGAATATTCGAAAATACCTTCATGTAAAAATGTACAACAAAAAGGTAAAAATGCAACTAGATTCAGGATATGACATTTCCACTATTAACACACAAACATGGAAAAATCTAGGAAAGCCAACTCTGCTAAAGTCCAACAAAATAGCCAGGACGGTAACTGGAAAAAAGATAAAATTTGAAGGGGAAATATGGGTAAATATAACCTTCAACAATAAGTCGATAAAAATGAAACTTTTTGTAATGAAAAACACAAACAACCTGTTTGGGACTGACGCAATCACTAAGTTCAACCTATGGGACGTGCCCATTAGTTCTTTTTGCAACAACATTAGTGAAAGCAAAGACAATATAAAAATCTACAAGCAGAATTGAAAACGGAATTCCCGAAGTTTTTTGCTGAAGGACTTGGACGTTGTTGTTGAAGCATCAGCAAAAAAATACAGCTGAAGAAAAATATCCAACCAATTTTTAAAAAAAGCGTAGCATAATTCTTTTTGCCCCATAAGAGAAAATTGACCAAGAACTCGAAAGACTAACGAGAATTGGTGTGATCTCGAAAACAGAATACAGTGACTGGGCAGCTCCGGCTGTCTACGTAAAGAAGAAGTCGGGCGAAATTCGCGTCTGCGCCGATTTTTCAACCGGGTTAAACGACGCAATAGAAGAGTACCACTATCCACTACCAAGTCCCGAAGAAGTGTTCGCAAAGTTAAATGGCGGAAAAATCTTTTCGAAAATAGATCTTAGCGAGGCATACTTGCAAGTACCCATGGATAACGAAAGCGCAAAGTTGCTATGCATTAACACGCATAAAGGTTTGTTCAGATACGAACGTTTACCGTTCGGGGTGAAGACAGCACCCGCAATATTCCAGAAAATTATGGATACGATGTTATCCGGGTTAGACTACACGATAGCACATCTCGACGATATACTTGTGAAAAGTGAATCGGTGGATGAACACAAACACCATTTACGCAAAGTTTTCGAAAGGCTAAGAAGCTATGGATTTCGAGTGAAAGAAAACAAATGCGATTTTCTCCTGGAAGAAATCAAGTATCTGGGACATATAGTGAATAAAGAAGAGAAAAAGCCTCATAAAAGTCTAGCTTCAGCAATAAAAAATATGCCTGAGGCAAAGGATATTAAATCCCTACAAAGTTTTTTAGGCTTGGTGTCATATTACACACAAACGGCACATTAACCAGTTGAAGAAAAGAAAGACCGACGAATCGGAAGTAACTCCACAAGAAGACGAATTACACGAATTGTTTGATACGTTTGACCTGCAAATACCGCAGACTGAGCAGAAACAACGCAGATCTGCAAGAAAACGTAAAGCAACACAAAAATTTAATAATAGACCCGAAAAGGAAAAAAATATTAATTTTTTTTTCTCACAATGTAAAAAGAAAAAAAAAACAATTTTGGGTGGGGTGTTGGGGCGCACCCACCTTCTAACTAGAAATGGACTGGTCCCTCTTATATAAGTCAGCTCTAGAGAGAGGACGAGAGAGAGAGCGTCAGCGACAGCAGTCCAGATAAGCTTACCCGTTACATACCGTTGGGCTATAGACTTTGGATATTGTTTCGTACTAACCAACCTTCGTTCTACTAATCACTCTATTGTTAATTGCTTTTATGAATATACCAGTATTTTCCTCTACAACTGTGTTTGTCTTGATTCATACACCGACACGCGGGAAACTCACAACATCTCAACAATAACATATAACTTAATGGATTAATGTCCCATTTGATTTATTTCAATCTTATCTTGAAAACCAATTTGAGATAAACAGAGAAAAAAAACAACAAAAAAAAATGCAAGTGAATACATATATATTTTTTAAATATATTTCATTTTATTATATTTATTTACATACGAGTGTCAGCTGAAAAGTTCATAGGCTGACCAAGATACTCTGATGGAATATAACCAAACGCGATTTAGTTTTCAACATAGTTTTGAATTACGGTCCACGAACTTCTTCTATCAGTGTTGCAGTGCTAAGAGACGAATCATTAAGAAGCTTTTATCCTGTTGTTAAAAATGTCAACAGCGGATATAAGGTCACCATCATTGCGATACTGATTCCATACTAAGTGATTATTAAGTTGGGGAACAGATGATAGTCAGATAGGGTAAAATTAGGAGAATAAGAAAGGTGATCAACAGGTTTCAAAGCCACAGTCACGCGCAGTAGCCATTGAAAGCAAGAACAGATGAAACAATCGATTTTTCCTGGGCATTTGACCTCCATAACCTTTTATAACTACCTCAGCAAGTAGTTATATTACTGTCCATTCACGGTGGGACTTTCAAAGATAATCAATACACACAATAGCTTATGCATATTCCCAAGAAACTGAGGCCGTCACCTTACCTGCAAGCGAAACCACAGTCACGTTCTTTGGAGCAAGTGCGGAGGAGGCACAAAGGGCAAATTGCCGAATTTTCTAGATATTCCAGCGATGATACTAATAAGATAGTACCAAGAACGTATAAGACTATTTAAACCAGTAACTTTCCAAGCCATTTTGATCCATGCCCCGCTTTGGTATTTCTAAAATTCTGGTGACCCCTGTAATATTTAATTCTTACATATTCAAAATTTTACTGCAGTTCACGTGAAGGAAGCTTAAAAGACCATTAACTTGGTCTCTAAACAAACCTCGAAAGGCCATGGCGTCCATGAAAGAGAAAAAATTTAAAAAAACAAAAAGACAGTTAAATATATATATAGTTTAAAAACATATAATGGACAACTGAAAGGCAAAAATCTAAAATATTTGAATGAAAGTTTATTCTTTGATATACTTTTGTCATTTTAATTATGAAATAATAATGTAAAATGAAATTTGAGTTCATCCCAAAATGACTGTTAGTGAGATCCTTGCGCCTCATGCCTTCTACAAATAGCCTTTGTTGACCGAGACACGAGAGTGTGGGGAGACGGGAAATACCCTGTATGCCAATTACATATGTACGTACATAGACACAACATATTTTTATGTATGCATACTGTATATGCATCGTATAAATTAACACACATTAACATTAACACTCTCGATCAGACACACTAGAAAACAATCCACTGTTAATAAATCATTCTCGAATTGCCCCCTTATTCTGTTGCTATAGTAAGCCGAAGGGTTAACGTCCTACGCCTGCTCCACCAAAATATTACTATGCCCCACCTGTGGGGCATGCACCCCACTTTGTGAATCATTGATTTAAACGATCATTGACTTAAACACGCTCTTTATACCTTTCCGTTCCTCCATGAGATAAATCAATTTTTTTCGGGCTTTTTCGAAACGTTCTTTTGAGAATCAACTTTTGCTATGTATGACTATTTAAACGCATTTTTTTATATTCACTGCATATACTTTTAGCTACATATTTCGTTAATAATTTAATCTGGGAGAGCAGACGAAGTTTTGTAATGATAGTAGGAGTCGCGTATATCATTCATAATAAATTTGAATGTTTTCATAATCTTACTGTGCTACAAAGAACATGTAATTTCAAAATTTATTAGAATTTATTTAAATATTTGAATTGTAAATAATCGCTAAAGAGACTTTTGCTAAAGCGTCATTTGTACTTTTGATATTTCTCTTGTTCAATACACTCGCTTCAAAATATTGCCAGTGTTTTGGAAAAAAGATTAAACCAATAGATATTATTGTTAAATACATTATTATTTTGTACACACACTCTCTCTCTCTCACACTCACACACGCACACACACACACACACACATATATATATATATATATATATATATATATATATATATATATACATACATACATAGATAGAATCAGTCGAAGATAGATAAATAGAAATATAATGAACAGGGGGAGATAGATAGATAGATAGATAGATAGATAGATAGATAGGATCAGTCGAAGATAGATAGATAAATAGAAAGATAATGAACAGGGGGAGATAGATAGATAGATAGATAGATAGATAGATAGATAGATAGATAGGAAGCAGGGTGTAGTAATGGATAGCTCGGATTGGCTGAATCGTATAGTTGAGTTCGAATTCCAGTCGAATCCATTACATTCATTTACATGCTGATATTCTTAGGAAAGATATGAATCGTCTTCTTCTCCCAGAAATGAGTAATTAGAAGGATAGACTGGATTCTATAGCCTTGGATGGCAACTGGTCTAGGAGAAGGACAACACTGGATTCAAAACCTGCGGAGAGTTTTTGGAGACCTTGTGGCACATGGTGAACCAGGTCTCTTCAAAATTCAGCTCTTTAAAAAGTGTGGTTGGCTCTGCACAAAGTCTTCACCACTATAATCAAATTATATGTGCAGGTGCCTGGCTGTTGCTTCCTCATGACCCAAATATGTCGAATGCCACTTGATAGTCAAGGATATATATATATATATATATATATATATATATATATATATATATATATATATGTGTGTGTGTGTTGTAGGATCCACCTAATTTGTATAGTGGAGTACCGACCATATAAATATGGTTGGTACCGGAAAGAGAGGAGGAATCAATAGATTCAACCAGAGACTCTGCCTGACTGCGACTCAGTCAACACATTCTCCAGGAACGGTCTTACCAGGAATATACAAAAGACTATATGTAAATATTGTGTACACTTTTCTTGTTTCAATACATTTTGTTCTAAGTACATTTTGTGTTGCATTATTATTCCATGCATTAGTCAAGTTTCAACAATATATATAAAACTGGACATGAACTCAAGACCCAAAGGCGACAGTCTGTTTCATGCTAAAGGCAATCGTCAGGCGGTGTGCTTTTCCGTCTGGCAATCAAATTTATTCGACTTATAAAGCAATGTTCTCAAATGTCAGGATGTTCTCTCAGATGATATTACGTTTGCGAAATTTACAGAATTAATTTCTAAAAAAAAAATATAAATCATTATGAATGCCACCTCCATTGTAGATAATCATGGCTCTTTACAATTCTCTTTTTATTAATATCTGTGAACTGTGCTATCGCAAACTAAATATAGTAAATTTAACATGTACGTCTGCCTTTTATTGTAGCTTTGTTATATAATTATCTCTCTCTCTTTCTTTCTCTCTCACTCACTCTCTCTTTCCTCTCTATCCTTTATGCCATTTGGTTTTTAAACCGGTGTAAATAAAACTTCAAACTCTGAAAAAAATTTATCACGGTCAGGTATCGAAAATGGAATACAAAAATCCAAATCATGAGCCAAGGTACGAGTCTCCAAATGGGAAGACTCATAAGATGAAGAATTAAAGATAATTCCTTCATCACTGCATCCAAATCGTTTACGAATTAAGTAATTTAATTTTGGCTGCAAAGATGCAGACATTTTTTTTAACTCCGCATTCGTTTGAATAGTCAATTAACTGGGAAAAGCGAATTTCATGAAAGTAAGAAAGAGTTAACATACACTTTCTCTATTGATTCTTAAAGGTACAATTGAGCAAAAGGATTCTTTTAGAAAAGGTTTGTATTGAACCCTCCATAAATATCTTCTCAATTTTTAAACCAGAATGTAGTCTCGCATTCCTAAACCTAAACAAGATATTGGAAGGACATAGATGTTTATCTATACACGCTCAAAGAGACACTTAAATTCTAACCGTCTTATACTGATGATAATTTATCTAAACTATGGATAAATTCCGGTTTGTACCTCCGCTTTAAATATTTAAATAAGTTTTTTTGTAGTCGAAAATTTAAGGATAGTTAGGAATAAGCATAATTTATATGACATTTTAATGTATATTTTAAAAGCTAAAAAAATAATTGGTTTCGTCCCAGCCTTATCAAGTTTATTTCTGGGATATAAAAAAATAAACGGGTAAATTTAATTAATATTAATGATAACCAATGAAGGGGAATAAAAATGAATTTCATGAACGATAGAGTCCAATAACATTCAGACCCTGTAAGCATTCCGTCTGTTTATAGAGGGAAGGCCCATGGGATCTGATATACAAGAACTCTAGAACCTTTTCGTTATTGGTAACGTCTTGTGTATGACGATAAACTACCTCTATACTTACTGGCTCAGGATTTTTCTTGGTGTCAGGGTAGGTTTTATCATCTCTTATTTGCGTCTGTCTGTTCGGGTGGAGTGCGACTCAGTTACTGTTCCGGGGAAAATATATCTGAGGTGTCCAGCCGTGGGGAAGAGCTACCCGAGTCTGCAACCTCTCATGGCGCTAGAGAGCGCGATCGATGCTAGCAACACAACCGAATGTTGTGGGGGCTCGGGGAATATTTGTCCTTGGCCCGCGTCTACGTGCTCAGGGTCCCCACGTTAAACTTGACCTTTTATCATATCTCGTCTACAGTAGGGGGCGACCAGGTAAAGATATACCTCCGGTGCAAGGTATTGATGAGCGTGGAACAACCTTTTAACTGTTGTTGGTCCCTGTTCAATCTTAACCCGGGATAGTAGCAGCCGTTATCGTCCCAGCTATGGGCAAATATTTAAACCTCTCACTTGGCTTAAAACCCTACAAAAGTATAAAAATACATTTTTATAGTAAAAATACCAGAAATACATTGTCATACATAAACAAATATACTAGTAAGACACTTTTTGTAAAAGAAATTACTTATGATCATAAGAAAATTAAATTGCCACATTAAATGACCCATAAGGAGTTGATATACAGCTAAACAAACAAACACTGTTTATTGGTAAATGTTGGATGCTTTCTTGTGCTGGGCGTGTCAATTGCTGGAGTGAAAAGATTGTGAATCAAATTAGCTTGGGATAGAACAAACAGTGAGACCAGGCTCTCCCCCACATCCCCTTTGTTTTTGTGACACCCAGTTTAACATTTAAATAAACATTCCGTTTCTTTATTATGAGGAATTGCCGTAATGCCTTGGGAAAGATGTGAAAAGGTTGCCTTTTCAGTGTTTTCTTTTTTCGAGTCTATTCTGGCATTTACCCCATAACTTGAAGAAGAAGAGACGTGTTCATGCCTTTCTGAAGGTTTTAATTCGAACGCAACAGACTAGTTCGGCATTTTATTTCGGCTCGACGGTTCTGTTTTCCGCGTCGGTAGTCCTTACGCTAGCCCTGCCCATTTGCGGGGGACTCGATAACCAAAAACGTGAAACGTGTTTATTTCGTTGAAAGATTTTGAATACAGCTCATAGCATAAATTTGAATCCATCTCATTACGCTGACAAAAAAGCACGAGATATAATTCTCATATTAAAATAATATTTCTCTATCTACTTTGAATGTAATTTTTTTTCCTTTTAATCCAATGCGAACAACTCAGTTTATTCCTGCAGATTTAATCTGTTCAATTGACAATTATCAGAATATTACGAGAATCGATAGACGCCACGAGAAAATCCGGGGGGGACAATGGGTATGGAGTTGTTCCTATAGCAACTAAGATAATGCTATTAGATTTAATGTAATCCACTTTAAAAGATTTCGAGTAGAAAGACATAGGGACTGGATAATTTTATATCCATAACGTAAAATAAAGCTGTAGTAAAAAAACAAAACAAAAAAAAAGTTAATTTGATCTGGGTACAGAAGATATATTAAAAAAATACTTTTTTTAATCATTTCACAGCAAGCAAGGCAAAAATGCCACTTAAGCATACGCGATTACTTGGAATGAAATAAGACTTTAGAAGGAACCATAAAAACAATCCTAAGCAAAGGATAAACCTCTACTCCTGTTCAATATTCCGGTTCAAAAAGTTGTAATAATTACGATGAAAGAAACATTACTAAAACAATTAATAATGGACGACACTGCATTATCTACTAATAATGGTATTCTTATTAAATACTGATGTTATGAGTTCTTGGTATTATGAAAAATGCTCCTGCTTGAAAAATGAAAAGAAAAACTAAAAAATAAGTAAATAAATATTAAATTTAAAACAAAATTAATATGCCATATAAAAACACACACACAACACACACACACACACACACACACACACACACACACATATATATATATATATATATATATATATATATATATATATATATATCATATAATTGAATTATATAAATAATTTGAAGTTTTTAACTTCAGTTTTTGAAACATGGTTATTACTATGTAGCGAAGAAACCATATTTTCAATCAGTTAATTTATAATATTTATGCTCTGTACATTTACATTGAGCACTGTTTTGTAAAAATAAAATATCAATAAGAACACCGGATTATATATCTTACTTTTCTTTTTATATATATATATATATATATATATATATATATATATATATATATATATATATTTCGATAAACGTGCAATCAATTTACAAATTCATGAATTATTCACACAAAAACAAATGCAAAGGTTAATGATTTAATTGGCGAGAAATCCATCGTCGCAAACAATTCAAATAATATACAAAAACCTCCGAATCCTGAAGACGTCTGTAGGAACAGACGAAAGCTTGTAGTAAAAATAAGAACTAATGCGGCAGAAATTTATAGAAACAAGGATCTTTTCATTCATAATGGATATAGTATAGTATAGCTGGCCAGTCATATTCGAGGATACTAGTCTAAAAAGCGCATTTGTGTTTATTTAACAGCCACCTGTGGTTATACTGCAACTATGCCAAGCAGACATTAGTTACAGTTTCTAGGAAATAGCATGTTATCTAGCGTGATCAACAATTTGAACAAGGCCAGCACGCTCATACTCAACCTCGGCCACGATGACTTGTGACTTCGTGATAGCATGGATTCCGTCTATTTCAGGCACTTTCCGCACGCTGAAATCAACTCTCAAGTCCAACAACATATATATATATATATATATATATATATATATATATATATATATATATATATTCATTTTAGAATATTAAAACAAAAACATATTAAGAATCTCTACTACATGGCAATTATGTTTCGATACTACAAATGTCTCTGTTCGGCCGATGGTATATATAATAATAATAATAATAATAATAATAATAATAATAATAATGCACTCTCCCGTCGGTTTCGATATAGGAGGATCTGGCAGCTTAGTTGATTCTGTTATGAAATTTTGTGCGATGAAATGTTCTATAATTCCGAGTACTTTCGGCTATACCTTTAGCCATTATCAATGATGATTTTTTTTTTTGCTTTTTAACTAGGTTTAGGAAGCATGTGGTTGCCCTTTAAGGAACTGTGTTCCTGATCAAACCGAATTCATAAATAATTTCATCGGTTACACAACTACATACCTATCCAAATGCCTTACCTTACACCTATCTGACCATAGCTCTATTAGAAGCCATTTAAATACACACAGAGGTTTACAAGACTCCATCCGAAACATACTAGTAGAAAATACAAACATTATAACCTCATCCACAAGTAAAAAAGGATTAAAAATAATAGAAGCCTTAATAATAAAAAGAAAGAGCCAACACTTAATAATATTAACTATGAACCCGGCCACAATGTGCTAATTCTGTTCGGAAAATAAAACATCCCTATAAAAACACACAACCCATTCACCCAGTTAAATGCAAAAATAAAATCATCAGAGACATGATAAACTTTCTGAACAACCAATGAAGTCATAAAACCTACAATAGATCATCTACAAAGTATATATCTATAAAACATACATTTATCCTTTAGTATAAAATTATGTTGAAAATATATGCAGTTGGAGCCATAACATTGCATTCAAAAGATTAAGATTTCAGCATTAAATAACCCATAGAGGTGTTGATATACCACTAAACAAAGACAATAAACCAAACAAATCAAAATATTTAGATTTCGCCATAGAAGGTGATATGCCGCTAAACAAAAATAAAAAAAGAAAGGGAAGTAAAATGAAAAATAAAATGTACAAATATATTTAGAGTAAAATTTTGGAATACTAAGTATCATTGAGATTGTGGAATAGGAAAGTAATTGTAAATATTAAGAAATTGATAAACATATTCCAGTTTGTTGATGCCAACCAATACACTAAATCAACTAGAAAGACATTGGTCATTGACGTCATTACACGACTAAAGCACCTCAGGGTAATTTTATAGCTTTCTTTTTATTTTAAGATACAAACTCTTTCTGTTTGTTTATATATCCTTCACAGCTTGTATTGAACAAATATTGAATATTTGAATACAGTAGCTCTTAAACCAGTGATCATGACCTTATTTGAATTATGTGATTGTTCAGAAAAGAACAAAAACAACGAACCATGTGTGTTTTTGTATATTTTTTCGTGTTTATTTATAATTATTTTAAATACAAGCGACAATAAAGTCACTGTAGAGATACTTACAATAACAATTAAGATAAAGCAATTATTCAACTGTCCAGAAATTTATTATGAAAGTAGTTCTGGTTAATTCTGGTTAATAACATTTAAATAAAGGGTGACCCCAAAAAACGGGAACTTTTTAACAATCCAATAAAACCAAGAGTGATGGAAGAAAAACATTTTATTCATAGTAATTGAAACCTTAAAACATGCCATTTAAGAAACAATGATGGAATTTTCATTATTTTAAAAATTACATCCTGTAAATGGCAACCTCCAGTACGAATACATTCTCGAAATCTGCTGTTGAGATTCCTCATTGACTGCTGCAACATCTCAGCTGGGATACTGTGAATTTCATCTTGAATTCTAAATGGCGAAATGTTTACTTACTCAAGGTCACTGTCTCGCAGTGTTGCCACTTGCTAGTGTCTGGCAATACGCACTTCAAAATTTCCCGTTTTTTGGGGGTCACCCTATACTATGTTAAACAATAATAAATTAGTCACTGACACGTTTTGAACTGCAAGCCACCTGCTTCAATGCTTTGCTTTTTTATTATAAACAATTGTATAGTGACATTATTCCCACCCTGTATTATTTATTTTTAAAACAAACACCGTACTATGATCGGGGGAGCATCCTCTTGGGAGTCGGCTCCACAAAGCCGTCACATAACTCTCATTACAGCTTATTCTTATAATTCTTCTATTTTATTATTAGTTATTATTGTTGATAATTCATTGTGCGGAATACGCTTACAGTATTACCAGTTTGCAACACAAGTTTTCGTACGATTACCGAAGTTAAACAACGTCGAGCCTGGTTAGTATCTAGACGGGTGACTGCTTGGAAATAACAGGTGCTGTAACCTTGGAAGTGTGTGTAGTATAATGCCACAGAATTAGAAATTAGAGAACCGAGTTCAAATTCCAGTCGAGACCGTTATATTCACTTACGTGCAGATACCCTTGGTAAAGGTATGAATCCAACTCTCCCTCGTCCGGCAGCTATACGTTAATTAGTGACACCTGAATAGGTTCGTGAAAAGAAGCAGTTCGAGTGGTATACGAAGCAGCTCACCAATGGTATAGGAAAAGAATACGAAGAATGTAATTTATCATTCTCAACATTCAAGTCGTAGAAAATCGATGTTTCACTTGGGTAATTGTCGCCTACATGGTGCCGACATTATTCTACAGAATCTGGGAGATGTTCACTAACTTTCCCTGGCAGGCAGCTGTTCATATTAAAGTTATGTAGAACATGATATGATTATATGTACCTCATTAAGATAGTATGCCTAAAGTTCTACTTCCCAACACATTCAAGAAAAAAGCCAATATATCGAAAGAATGTATTTTCCATCCGTACAATCATATCTATCTATCTATCTATCTATCTATCTATCTATCTATATATATATATATATATATATATATATATATATATATATATATATAAATGTGTGTGTATTTATATATGTGTAAAAATGTGTATGTGTGTGTACGTCTGTATTTATATATATATACATATATATATATATGTAAAATGTGTATGTATATAAAATATATATATATGTATATATATACAATTATATTTATATACATACACATTTTACATATAAAACATACATACATATATATATATATATACATATATATTTATATACATACATATCTTACATATATATAAATACACACACACACATATATATGTGTGTGCATGTATGTATTTACATATATGTAGAATGTGTATGTATTTAAATATATAAATATATATATATATATATATATATATATATATATATATATATATATATATATATACATTTTACATATATATAATTGCATACATATACATACATGTATGTATTTATATATATATGTAAAATGTATTTGATATAAATATATATGTATATACATATATATATTTATATACATACACATTTTACATATATATAAAATACATACACACGCATATATATAAGTGTATGTGTATGTATGTATATATATGCTTGCAAAATGCGTATATATATAATATATATATATATATATATATATATATATATATATATATTATTTAAAATGATAACAAAAATACTAAAGAACTTTGGATTATTTACCTAACGAGTTCTTTTCCTATTTTCTATATATTTTTCACATATATATATGTGAAAAGTGTGTGTATATAAAGATAAATAAATATATATATATATATATGTATAATTATTTATATATTATATGTGCGGTACTTATTAGAAAGCGCTCAATATCAGAGATAGAGCTAACATATTTGGTTGGATAGATGTGAGTTTGTGACCCTGGGTTTCACGCTTTAGCGATCGTCAGATTGACGATCGTTAAAGCGTAAAACTCCATAGTCACAAACTCACATCTATCCAACTAAAATATATATATATATATATATATATATATATATATATATATATATATAATTTTTTATATATATTATTTATATATTACATATGCGCGGTACTTATTGGAAAGCGTTCAATATCAGTGATACAGCTAACATATTTAGTTGGATTGATGTGATTTCGTGACCCTGGGTTTCATGCTCTCAGCGATCGTCAGGCAAAGTGTTAATTTTTGAAATTTTGGATTTATTTATGTTTGCGTATATGGGTGTTTTTATCGTAGTGGAAGGAAAAATTGTCGTTGGAACGCCACTCAAACATACATACACACACGTTCACTCATTAACGTACGCAGACATGCATACACACACGTTCACTAATTGGAGCTCACACATATATGAATATATGAACAATGTGGGGCTGGGTGTATATGCGCACTCATGTACTGGTGCGTACATAGGTACGCAATTGGTCGCTGTATTCAATGTTGGACTGTATAACGAAGTGGCAGTGTCAAAGGACAGAGCGTTCGTCTGTTTTGTTCGCGGAATCATGTTTTCTCGCACACACACATATACGTATGCACACGTGTTCACACACCTTCTATCCTCTGTTTTTTTTTGTCTGACGATTACAGAGGCGTGAAACTCAGGGTCACAAACTCACATCAATCCAACTATTTATATATATATGCCCATTTACAATTTGCCCATAAATGGGTCCCAAACAGGTGCTACTACCCTGGGTAAGGGTGGCTCTGGAAACACCAGCAATTAAGAGTTGGTTCCACGCTCCTGAAGAGCTCCTGATCAGAAGTTTTGTTTTATCGTGTTACCCGGGACGCGGATGCAGTTTATCGTCATACCCAGGACGCGGATGCTGTTTATCGTCATACCCAGGACGCGGATGCTGTTTATCGTCATACGAAGGACGTGGATGCTGTTTATCGTCATACCCAGGACGCGGATGCAGTTTATCGTTATACCTAGGACGCGGATGCAGTTTATCGTCATACCCAGGACGCGGATGCTGTTTATTGTCATACCCAGGACGTAGATGCAGTTTATAGTCATACCCAGGACGCGGATGTAGTTTATCGTTATACCCAGGACGCGGATGCTGTTTATTGTCATACCCAGGACGTAGATGCAGTTTATAGTCATACCCAGGACGCGTATGCTGTTTATCGTCATACCCAGGACGCGGATGCAGTTTATGGTCATACGAAGGACGCGGATGCTGTTTATCGTCATACCCAGGACGCGGATGGAGTTTATCGTCAAACCCAGGACATGGATGCTGTTTAACGTCATACCCAGGACGCGGATGCAGTTTATCGTCATACGAAGGACGCGGATGCTGTTTATCGTCATACCCAGGACGCGGATGGAGTTTATCGTCAAACCCAGGACATGGATGCTGTTTAACGTCATACCCAGGACGCGGATGCAGTTTATCGTCATACGAAGGACGCGGATGCTGTTTATCGTCATACCCAGGACGCGGATGCTGTTTATCGTCATACCCAGACGCGGATGCAGTTTATCATCATAGCCAGGATGGGCTTGAGGTTTGGTTTGAGCTTAAGTCCTAATAGGCGTTCAGGGTACGATTCTTCTCTGAGAGAATAACATCGATAGATCAAAATTCAGGGTCTGTTTGGTGATGATGGGGCATTATTGTTTTTGGTCTTCGTGGTATGGATTGTAACCAGCCAGTTTTTCCCCGCTGAGGGTCAGAGGAGTAATCAACTGCCAAGATGTGGTTATCTAGAGTTTTGGAGATGCTCTCTTTGTACATATCAGCATAGATATTCCCAAAAGATCTGTGTGTACACTTAGGCAGATCATTTATGTAAAATAGAAAAGAGACTTTACATTAAGAAGTGAATCTTGGAGGACGACAGCCTTGATCAATTGGTCCCTTGAGGACTGGCTGTTGACAAATCCATTCAGGGACCTACCCGTTAATAAGGTCTTGTTAATTGAGAAAGACCTTTCCAGTGAATTCATTCCTTACAGAGTTAGTGCAGTAACCATCAATACCACGCTTTGTCAAAGGTGCTTGGAATATCTAATGCGATATTCATTGAGACTGACAGTGAAAGAAACTGAGAAAATATCATTGATCCGATGGCAAAACAATGCAGGACCATTGAAAGAAACTGAAGACGATGACTGACGTTGCATTTAAATTCTTGAAGATGGTAGTTGACAGGAAAGCAAGATTCCGGAAGAGAATTCCACCGATGCAAGAGAAGAAACTCTTAGCATAGAACTTACGGTTAAATACGATCAGAATATCTCATACTTAAATGGATAGTCATAAAATTAGATAGAGTGTAAACTAACATATATATATATATATATATATATATATATGTGTGTGTGTGTGTGTGTGTGTGTGTGTGTGTGTGTGTGTGTGTGTCCCATACATATATATATATATATATATAAAACATATATATATATATATATATATATATATATATATATATATACCTAAGTATGGGATTGGTGTATACGGAATAAATTCCAATAACCTACAAATACTATTCTTAAAAGACTGCTCAATATAGAGTAAAGCAAATATAATTATTTATTTGAAAATTATAACATAAATATGTTATAAAATCACTACAAAAATAGCCATTTTGTTTCAACATTTATGTTGTCTTGTCATGTTGAATGTAAGAAGACACCAGAAGTGTTGAAACAAAATGGCTATTTTTGTAGTGATTTTATAATATATTAATGTTATAATTTTCGAATATATATATATATATATATATATATGGTATATTTATAGATCTATTATATAGTTTACATATATTAAAAAATGAAAGAAGCATAATTTGTTTGTTCAATAAAAAATAATCAATTGATGATCCTTTAATTATATTTTTACCACATTTACCTTTTGCCTCATCAAAAGTAAATTTCCTTTAAATACTTGAAAAAATTACATTAAATGATCATCAACTGATTATTTCTTATTGAACAAACAAATTACTTTTTACTTTCATTTTTTTAATATATGTAAATTATATTGCTTTCATTTTTTAATATATTTTATATATATATATATATATATATATATATATATATATATATATATATATATATATATATATATATATATATATATATATATATATATATATATTAATACATATGTATACACGCTACAGTTCAAAAGTTTAAAGCGACACGCTGAATTACCATGAGATAAACTTTACAGAAAGTGGGAAATATGCAAAAGAGCTCTAAGAATCATTGAAAATAGAATGGAATCAATTATCACAATGATACGCTGAGAAACCTTTGCAAACAACACCAGAAGGATATGTTAATCATAAAATTTAATCATAAAATTTAATCATAAAATTTAATTATAAAATGCCTTTTTCTTTTTGTCATAATAAAATGTCTAAGAAATAATGTCTCATTTTTTTAACCATGTATAATAATTTTCTCTTATTTACAGGACAA